CCCGGCTATTTTTTGGTTGCAGCCGTCGTTGTTGTTTGGCGGGTCCGGGCTGGGGATTCGAACCCGCCACCTTAGGTGTACGTGGCTGGTGCCTTAGCCGGTTGACCTATAGGCGCCGAGCCTGCTCTTTCTAAAATACACATAAAACTTTTGGGCAGCGCCTGTGGCTCAAAGGAGTAGGGCATGGGCCCCATATGTCAGAGGTGGTGGATTCAAACCCAGCCCTGGCTAAAAACTGCAAAAAAAAAAGAATTGGACTTTTTAACTAACTGTATGAATGGGATAATGAATGCTGGCTTGTCATTTACACAGAAGAGCTGTAATACATTGCATCATTGGTATCAAATTTTCACAACAGTCCCTCTTATAGTGGACTTCATAGTTATTTGCTGACCATTCCTCTTATCTAAAACAAAGCAAACAAACAAGCAGAAAACTCAGTGATGTCATTAACTTACCTAGATCTTTAAACTGAGCAGTAAGTATAATATTCAATTAATTGAAAATGAAAATACTGGCCAGGCATGGTGGCTCACACTTATAACCTTAACACTCTGAGAGGCCAAGGCAGGTGGATTGCTTGAGCACAGGAGTTCGAGACCCCATCTCTAGTAATAATAGAAAAACTAACTGGAGTGGCTGGACACAGTGGCTCACACCTTTAGTCCTAGCACTCTGGGAGGCCGAGGCAGGTGGATTGCCAGAGCTCAGGACTTCCAGACCAGCCTCAGCAAAGTGAGATCTTGTCTCTACTGAAAATAGAAAAACTACAGGCACCCACCTGGGCAGACTGAGCCAAGAGGATTGCTTGAGCCCAAGAATTTGAGGTTGTTAGGAGCTATGATGACTTCATGGCACTCTACCTGGGGAACAGAGTAAGATTCTGCCTCAAAAAATAAAGAAAATGGCTCAGTACCTGTGGCTCAAGTGGCTAAGGCGCCAGCCACATACACCTAAGGTGGTGGGTTCGAGTCCAGCCCGAGCCCGCCAAACAACAATGATGGCTGCAACCAAAAAATAGCCAGTGTGGCGGCGGGCACCTGTGGTCCCAGCTACTTGGGGGGCAGAGACAGGAGACTCGCTTAAGCCCAGGAGTTGGAGGTTATTGTGAGCTGTGATGCCACGGCACTCTACCCAGGGGGATAGCTTGAGGCTCTGTCTCAAAAAGAAAGAAAATGAAAATATTTATTTGTTTAGTTTAGTTGATTAGCAGCTCTCACAAATGACTTACATTGAGCCAGAGAAATGAGTGGGGGTGGAGGGGATAGAATCATATCCCATGTATTACACAATATGTAGAAAAGAGGTTTAAATTTACAGACTGTAATTCTCTCTAAAAGTTTATGTCCCAAGACTTAGACTTTTTTTAATTTTAATTTTTATTTTTGGTTGGGGGAAGAATCACTTTGAAGGTTATGTCAGAACCCATTTGGATACAATATCTGTAGTTTTTCTTACTGGTGACCATGACTTCTGAAATAAGGTCTGCTTTGTGCGAAACTCAGCACGATGCCAGAAGGTTTTAGTCTTATCTCCTTGTCACTTAATACCTGGCTACCATACCAACCCATGATTGATGGGTAGTAGGGGAGGCATGAACTGCTGCCTAAAAATAAGATAGCTATGTTCTCTCCATTTGTTTTAGAATTTTTGCAGTAAGGTACTTGTCCCAAATGGTTTCTGCTATCCTTTTAAAAATCAAAATTTTCTTACATGAGCTATTTGAGGGGGATATGTTGTACTGTATTGCCCTAGCCTGACAAGCGATAACACAGCCAGCTTGTGTTTCACAATCATCTTTCAAATGCTATAGTGACCAAGTTGGCTACTTCTTGTTGGCAGTTCTTGGCACCAGTACAATGCTAGGTTCTGAACTTGCACCATACTCTTATCGTCATCCAAATCACAGTGTTTTGGTTCACTTGGAAAATCAAGGTTGTAATTTACGTTTATAGAATAAAATTTCCCAGCAGTATTTTGTGATAGTAATGGTGATGTAATTTGATATATTAAAAATCAACAAGTATTTTTCCCTCAGGTTTGTTTTTTAGACTGAGAATGATTTGAAATTTGAGTGTACCTTTGTATTTTGATAGTACAGGAGCCACATGACCAAATGTGTCAGCAGCAGCCAGTGTTTACCTGACATACAGAATAGGAGAACATTAAGAAACTGTCAGGGCTCGGCGCCTATAGCTCAACCGGCTAAGGTGCCAGCCACATACACCTAAGGTGGCGGGTTCGAATCCCCAACCCGGACCCGCCAAAACAACAATGACGGCTACAACCAAAAAATAGCTGGGCGTTGTGGCGGGCGCCTGTGGTCCCAGCTACTTGGGAGGCAGAGGCGGGAGACTC